CACACACACACACACACACACACCGCATATACGTATACGCACTAACACATAGTGGATTAGAACTGGCCTAGCTATTCTACTTTCACACATTTCTAATTTTTTAAATATTATTAGAAAAACATGGTATTGTAGCTTATAAATAAACTTTCTATATCATTATTGAATATGTACCTGTTCATCCAAAATAATATTATTCTAAACTAGAAACTGAATTCGCATAACCAATGTGTAGAATTTAACATTGAATGTCTATCTGGAGTAATCCAAATTCGTCGAGATTCACAATTACCGTGTTCATTCATGCGTACAGTAAACTCGCATAAATTAAACTGCACTAGTCACAGAGACCATTTCGTTAAGCTACTATAATAAGGTCCTAAAGAGTGCTGTATTGCTCCGGGGATTTTTCTTTTTGTACACACCATTTCACTGCACCAACATCAACATTGACGTCGAAGGACATGTACTAACAAAAGACTTGAATCCCCTTCTCTTTCGATTTCAGGTTTTCTACCAAGGAGTCGGCTACGCACGCCATCGTAGCGGTACACAACACAGACATCAACGGCCAAACAGTGAAGTGCAGTTGGGGCAAGGAGAGTGGAGATCCTAATAATGCTCAACAAACTGGACAGGTAAACGCTTCTCTATCTTTTCCTTTTATCCGCTCTACCAAGAGGACGGTTTCAACGTGAAATTTCGCTCTCCGAAATGTTCTTCACCAACATTTACATCGTTGCTCGTATCAAACCAGAAAACTTTTCTACTTTATTTCATGAATAAACATTGTCGTCGATTTTCCTTAAGGAAAAGGTTGGAGATAATTTTCCAACATATGAAAAAACAGTGACTTTACGTGCATCAGTGAATATGAATCACAAGCGACTATATTGCAGGAAGTTAGTATTGAAAGGGAATAATATATGTTGACACTGATATCAAATCTAATCTCCATTGTCTGCGTGTGTTAAAGCAACGAATGCAGAGCGACAGATTGTTCCACATAAATATAAAACACAAGCTTGCTGTTTTTATATGTTGTTTTATTCACTGAAACTTAGTGATTCGGTCTCGCCGAGACGAGACGAGACTAGCTCAAATCTCGTCTCGTTCTCGATTTGGTCTCGAAATTTTTAGTCTCGTCTCGGTATCGGCTTGGTCTCGACAATGACAATCTCGTCTCGGTCTCGATCTTGAATCGAGACTCTCAGTCTCGATGATCATAATAAGTGTTTTTTTCAATTTCTTCTATGATCTATGCGATTAAACTTTTAAACTTATTCATTATATTTTATGAATTAATTAAATTTTTAAACTATTTTATTAATTTGTGTATTAGTAATTTAAATTTTTTGAAAAATAAATTAATATATTTGGTTTAAAGGATATTTTTTTATGATTTAATTATTTTGTAAAGCATCATTAGTTATTAGAAAACATAGGAATAGGTTAAACGAAACATCGGCACATAATTTTATGCATAAATTCTTGGCTGACTTGTAGTCTCAAAGATAAATTTTAGAACATTAATATATTGTAATAATAACTAATGATGTCTTGTAAGTAATTTTTATTAAAGATTTTAATTCTTAATTTTTTGTATCAAAAATGTCAGTACAGTTTAAAACTTATTAAATATCTATATAACAATATATCTATATAAAAAGTTTATATATAATATAAATATCTATATAAAAAATTTAAGACTATATAAATATCTTACGCGTTGGAAAATATATCTTACATATTACAAAATTCGAGAGTCTCGTATCAGTTTCGAATTCGGACCTTAAGTCTCGTCTCAGTCTCGTCTCGGTATCGATATCGAGACTAGTCTCGGTATCGTTGGAAACACTACTGAAACTGAATAATGAATATTCTCGTTTCAAAGAAGCAAGTGCATTCAAAGAAGGAAGTAGTTATCAGATTCGATCGCGTTCGGTTCCTTCCGGTTTCGCGCGGCTAAAGTGTCTCTGTATATCGGTATATATGGTCTGAAAGTCCGACGAAAGAGTAAAGGCGGAAACGGAGAGAGGACAGGGAATCGGGCAAGATTCCGGTCTATTCAGGTGCCTCTCTTCGAAGTGTGTCGGGTCGGGTCTCTTAGCAATTAGCTCCGTTAGGATGGGTAGGTACGCCCGATCTGGGAATGGTACTCGAAGTACTTCCCAAACCCTCTCGCACTCCCCGGTAGTACTTCCGTGCATCCATCCACTGCTACTCGGCCCGTGACATCGCTCTAATTGATCTCTATTCCCATAACGCGTTTCTCCCAGGGGAGCCGAGATATCACGTTAGTACGTATCCTGCCATACCCTGTTCTCGTATTCAACGGAATCGAACTAGTTTGCGTGATATCCCGGTTCATCGTACTGCTTTAATGAAGAGCATAATAGCTGCACATTATTTCCGTACTTCTTAGAAACAAAACTATCGAAAAATCAGTGCAGTTTAAGTATATACACTAATAATGATAATATTATTTTCTCTCTCCTCAAAATTGTTTTCTCCCGTTTAATATCACAAAGCTTTGGAACAAAATTTTCAATGTTATTTAGATATTATTAGATATTATTCGGCAAATAAATGATTGTATAAATGAAAAAAAAATATATTCTTTTGTTTCATAAATATTAAATGTGCACGCACAAAAAACCAAACTGTATATTCTCTGGAAAATATTATTTCATGATAATTTGGTAGAATAATTTGATCTGATTTCACATTGTGCACCGTAAAAGAATGAATGAATTCACGCGAGAAACAGCGAAATAATAAAAAATAATTTACGTGACGGCAATGAAATGATCGCGTTGAAATTCTCGCGTCGCCCATTTCAAGTGAACGACCACACAAATCTTCGACGGAACGAAATTACCATTCCTGACCCTATCGACATCGTTAAGCATAAAATCCAGACAATGTTCTTGCTCTTTTCTATTTCATTCGCGGGTGTCGGAGGCGTCGGTGGCGTCGGCGGTGCTGGACAACTAGGATACTGGTATCCGCCCCAATCTTATCCCACGACAGCGACACAAATGCAAGCTGGTGGCTTTCTTCAAGGCATGCAGGGATATACCTATGGACAGTTCGCCGGATATCAACAGGCGCAATATATGGGGTAAGCTTTTCACATGAGATAAAGTTCCTTTTTCCCGAAAACCAAGTTTTTGACGACGAAATTTTCAATAATCGGAGATTTAAATGTAACATGAATATATAATCCCTCCATCTTTTTGCGGTATCAATGGATTGTAAACCAATTCGGAAATTTTTAATTTATATAATTCTAAAATTCATATTAAAGACTTTACATTAAGGACATAAGGAACATAATTATTCATATAGCTATATTAAGAACATATAGCTCGAATTTGTATATTAATTATAAAGATTCATTAATCTATATTATTACTTTTAATAAATTTATCTAATTGCCAATAACATAAAATACAGCATTTAGATAAGTTTTAAACACATTTATCAGTTAATTGTAACAAAAAATATTGACAATACAATATTACGTAATATGCGATATGAGAAACATTAATATTGTACCAAGCAGAACACGAATCCTAACATTTGTATGTAGAGGAGAAGGTGGTATTATGGCGCCCTATTTACATTTCATACTGTAATAACTACTGGTTAATAATCAGTATTTAAACCTAAAATTTAACAATTACATTCGTCAAAGTGTTGTTTATTGATTCTAGACTCAAAGTTATGAAACGTTTATTATTTAGGACATTAGTTATAAAAATGTAGCAACATTGAATGATGGCTAAAAGAGAAACAAGGATGGTAATGTGGCCTTCCATAAAAATATGTATAATAGATTTAATAAAATTGGTTTTGTTTAAAAAAAGTTTGGTTACACAAAATTAAAAAAAGTAAAATATTGCAGAATGTAAGCAAATGTATATGACGAACATATAATTTCTTTCGCATATAGGCTTAGTATTCAGTACTAAAAATTTATGGTACATATAACATAAACTATAAACTACATGAATTAACAATAGAGTTACAATCGATTTACGAAATAATTATTTTGATATGAAAAGCGCTCGAGGCAATCAGCACGCTTAGAGTGCCACATTAGCAAAATGCCATTCTATTATTTAATATTGCGCTCAATAACTCAAAGTATAATTAAATAATATGTTAAATAACAAACAATACATATTATATATTCATGTGATAATACGCTCTAGTGATAATACGCTTCTTCAAGAAGAATGAAGTATATAATTAAATGCTGAAATGTACTTTAAAAACGTTATCAAATATTTGAAAGTAAAAATGCGTTATAATAAATGCTGACTATTGTATGTGTACTGGCATATTATTGTCACGACGGCGGGGCTACTGAGCAAATAATTTCTTCACCAGTAATCACTAAAATTCATCACCTATAAATAGCAGAGATATTAAGAGGTCATTATATCTACACTGGCTATAATACCACCTTCTCCTCTACTATTCTATAAAATTATATGACGATTATAAAATTATTTGACGATTATATACATTTTTTACATACAAACATAGAATGGGAATGGGTGCTGTTCATGCTGCTGGCACAGCGGCAGGATGGGGTCAGGGATTACCTGGGGGACCACAGTTACCACCACACCACGCCACGACGGTCACGGCACCCCCAGGGGTGCAAGCCGCACCCCCACCACCACCACCACCGGCACAAATGATGGCCTACCCGATGCAACAGTTCCAGGTAACCATTACTTTATCTATCCCATCTGTATACGCGTGCAAGTGTGCGGCGTATTTGTTTGTGTGATGTTCGTTGGCTAACACCGGAGTGTTTCGCTTTTTACATACCTTTGCATCTTGCCCCTGTTACATCCAAAAGCAATTTCGTCGGTGCCAGTATTGGCTTGTAAATGTTGCACGTGGAAACTCGATTCGATATCAAAAGGATATCGAAAGCATGTGTCGACAGAAGAGTACGCATAGTATATATACATACGTATGTATGTGTATCTATATACATACATGTATATATGTATATGTATATATGTATACATATTATATATATATATATATATTGTCGGTGATCTTAGGAAACCTCGTAAACTTAATACTTGATATATCATTGGAGAGATCGAGCGAAAAAACATGGTACAATTTTGCACGGGTAGAACAATAAACATAACTACAATAACATATATGATATAATTAGCTGCATACATATATTCGGTATATTTTAGCTTGAGTTAACGATATTGCGAGGTTATGAGAGCAACCGCGATATGCTAATTTTAGTAATTCATACCAGCATTATTTACAATAATTACATAACGTATGTAAATAAAAACTTGCACACACGCGCATTTTCTTAAATTTTATTATTGTAAAAACTCAAGATTATTTTCTCTGTCAGATTAACAATACATTGTCTGCAATATCATAGCTACGTGTTATGTTATCAAACTTCGATTTTTCCATTATTAATTTAGACCACAAAATTATTCATCCACCATAAATAAATCGGAAGTTTGCTTAATAATTATTGAGAAATAGTGCTGTGTATGAATGAAATATGAACTACTGTCGGGACTATATATGCTTATGCATTAAAGCTTTTACGATGTTTTTTTTTTATAGACAGAGTTGGGTAAAAGACAGAGAGAGAATAGAATATTCATACTATATGTTATTTGTATTCGTATAACTTGAAATTATAATAAGATCAATAAAATGGTAAGTATTCATCTTACATAAGAGAAATGATACAATATGTTACCCATCTCTACTATGTAAAATAGATGTACTTTTTAGCTGGTTGCGAAGAATGCGTTAATTTTCTCATTGACGAAAGTGCTTTACGGCAGTTGTGATTGTACTATGGTAATTGTGTGGAGAATGTTTATAGTACGCATGTATCTAATAGATCCACATAATTAACGGCGAGAAATAATAGAAACTTTATATAGCATTATTTCGATTATCTTGTACCGAATTTCGAGAGATATTACTAGAAACTGAGAAAATAAAAGTTACTTTAATTTTTTTGTTGAAACATTTAAAAAACGATGTTTGGTGTTACAATGATATTCGTGAAATTAAGAAGATATTATATTACATTAAACAATTATGTTTTGTACTTTCTTATATAATTATCTTTTCAACGTAATTTTCAATCCATTGACATACAATTGCACTCTTACTAGCAAAGTAATTTTTATTTTTTGTACACCAGACATTGATAAAGCAAGACAGACTCGCTTTCCCGCTCGACACGTGGTTATAGGAGATTGTCGAGATTTAGTTATGTTGCAAAAAAATTGTGGTTCATGGCAGTGAAGTGAAATATGATACTTATCGTAGTTGTTGTCCAGAAAAGTACACCTCGACCATCTTGCTTTCTGCACAAAATGCACACGTAAGAAAGTGCACATTGCACACAGGCACACACGCCATCGCTAAAAACGACACTACTACAAAAAAAAATCTGGAATATTTGAAAAGAGATCAGGGATGGCTTCGGGCAAGCGCAGCGAATGCATTTCAACTCAGCACCGCTTTTAATGCCCCGCGTTCTTTTTGCTTCAAGAACAATTTCTGAACTTGACAACTTGAAGTCTCAGAATTGAGAACGACTATCTTAATTTAAAAGCTCGCTAAAAACTCTAGTCTGAAATTTTCAAATTAACTCTGTTGTTTCTTTATATTTTCCTTTCTATCATTTATTAAGTAAATAGAAAAAACTTACATGAAATATATTAAAAAATGTTTTGACATTTATAATTTTATATTATATAAAAATAGTATTATTATTACAAAATCACATCTTATTCCGACATTATGTATTTCATACATTTTTACTTATTATTTAAGTCTAATTTTTTAAATTATATAAACTTCAGTGATAAAATAAAACAATATGAATTTGTTTTTTAGTATTTTCAACATATATGTACACTATTATATCACAATAGAAAACAACAATTCATAAATTTACGGAAATGGAGGGTAAATCGGCTCGAGGTTAAGAGATCCTACTTTAAGAGAAAATACAGTTATTAGGAATAAAAGAATAAGTTTTCTGATCAACAGGACTATAGTAGACTTTGTTGAAGTACAATAAAACTGAAATAAACTGAACTGAATCAATGAGCGAATATCTGATTGTAAATCCGATTTGCTCACTAATTCCTTTCATCCGCTGTACTTTAATTTAATGATCCGCAAAAATCTCTCTAAATGGATTGGCAAAAATAAAAAACTAGTAAGTATCATAATGTTTTCGGTTTTTAAGTTACTCATATATATATATATATATATATATATGTTCATATTACGCATTAAAAAAATTGTGTCAAGATACTCATGTGAACATTTTTCCATACATACAGCATTTTCGGTTAACTTTGAAATGAGTCACATATTTAATAATAGTTTATAGAAAATTTTTAGATGACTATTATCAGAGAAAGTATGGATAATTTAAGATAGCGTAGTATATTGTAAACGCTGTATCGATTTCGGCTTTCGGTCATTAATCTGCAACTGTTTGCAAATGCCAGTAAAACGGCCTGTCGCTCATATTGTATATATGCTTAAGGAGATATACACATATCACGCAGCTATAGTTGTTTAGTGAGTCTTTTGTACATATCGCACATAGATCGCGGAGTAAAAGGTCACGTACCATTGCTCGTCTATCGCATCAAAAGAGATATTCCGGTGAGGAAAGTTAGCTCGCTTTCGCACAAATATCTCTCTCCGAAAAACCGAGTTCGCATTATATCACTGCATGTCAAGCGAGATATCACTTTGAAAGTTGCTTGAAAATCAGCCACCGAAACCATCCTCAATTGAGAGAGAACACGAGTTCTTAATAACAGTACCGATCAAACAATGAAAGAGGGATGAAACGTGGGAAATATATCGCCACCGGGATAAATTGCAATTGGCTTTCCGTTTATTTTGCTAATATTTTTTTGTTACGAGAGTTACAAAGTTTTGCGTTTGATCGCAAGCTCTAAGAAAACAAATTTATACACGGATATTCGCAATTTACAATCATGAGCTAAAAGCTGCGAAGTTATGAACATGCAAATATCCCCATGTAAATTTGTCCAACGTGTATTAAACTTTAACGTGCAGCTAACAATACAAAATGTATATTAACCAATAGAAAATTAACAAAAAAAAACTTAATATAAAATTAAGAGAATATTAGATGAATGTTATAAATATAGTATGGATATAAAAAGTTATAATAACTCTCTACGTAGATCTTAACTTGCATGAATATGGAATGCAAAATGTAGACATTGCATGCATTATGCTTCTTGCACCTTATCTAATTCAGATCGGGTATCCCTCTGGAGTGCCTTTTTTTATTTCCTTATTTTTATAAAGTATTATTTTATGTTCGATTACACTATGTTTTTATATATTATAATTTTAATCCAATTCTAACACAAATTGAATAATTATTTTGAAATAAAATGTAAGAATTTTAATAAATATTTTACGATTTACGACCTTAATTGTTACTTTCTTAATTGGAATAAATTTAATTAGGATTTATATGATTTCTTTTTATTATTATAAATTATTATATTAAATTATATTTAAAAGATCGAATGTACCTATATGTGATAGTATTATACTCGGTTCTCTTATTGTTCACATCCAGGAAGGGATGCTCGAAATTTTCAAAAAGACTATCTTTATTTACATATTTCGATTCGCAGGCACAGTGATCGCTACCACTATCATCGCACGGCCTGGCTTATCCTTTCTTTCGAATAACAATTAGCATCAGGATAACTGCATCTACAACCTGGCTCAACCTCGCATTCAGCCTGAAATTACTCGCTGCAGCTTGTTTTTATGCAAAAGGATAATATTTTCGACGAACGAAAAGGAATGGAAGAAAACATGTAAGAAACGAAAGCAAAAAAAAATGTGTCTATTCGCGTCTAATTTGTAAAGGAGCACGGCAGTGTCTCACGCCATGTCTTAGCGTCGAGACGTTACCATGTCTCCAGATCAGCATGACAATTTATAATATTCGATTTTATAGTAGTCTAAACTTAATTTATCCAATGACGACTGAGCAGGGATTAGGCCATGAAAACTCATTAACCTAATCTTGCGGTTAATGCGCCGTCGCCTATGCGATAAATTATAATACAAGCAGTTTACTCTACTTGTTATATTATATTGTTATTATGCAATCTTTACATGTTTACTGTGTCACATGGTTGAGGTTGAGTCATGGTGAAGGTAGATTCAGATCGATTAGAATCCATGTAGTAGGAGAATGTGAGAAACTGTAATGAAAAAGCAAGAGTGAAGATGAGACAGAAGCGAGAGAAAGAGAAAGAGAATGAATGAAAGAGAGAAAGAAAGCCAAAGTTAGAGAGCACATAAACGAGCGCGAAGACGAGTGAAAGAGAGGGAGAGAGAGGACTATTGTCGAGCATATTTCTATTACTTTCTTGAAATTCGGACCAAGATTTAACCAGCGTTTGTGTGTTCAAATGGTAAAGTGTGTTCTTGGTTGCGGTCCAGCTAGCGGATGAGGACTGGCTGACGCCTAGCCTTCTAGTGTGATGGTAAGCAAGTACACCCCACCAACAGGAACAACTTCTACAGCAACAACAGTTACCACCACCATCACCACCATCATTTCCTCCTCCACTACTACCACCACCTCCAACAACAACAACAATAACAACATTTCCGTCATCATCGATGCACAATCGACCGCGACAGCAAAAGCAGTAGAATTCATGCCACTTCGGCTTGACGACGCGCGAGTCGAAAGGCAGTAATCACGAAAAACAGATAACACTTGTTTAGTAAAAACGAAGAAACAAAGTGAGAAATAAAAAAAATAGTAATTAAGAATCATAATCCTAGGTAATTTTGCGCAAGATGCATCCGACATCCCTATTTCCCCTGTAAGTTTTCACGTCCAGTGTAAGAAAAAAGAACTGCTACCGATTACTAAGCGGAGATACCTCTCGTCCAGCCTGTAGGATAATCTAGCATCTTACTCGGCTTGAAGAAATAGATAGCGTTTGCCGTTATACAGTAGTATCCGAAGCTTCAATACAAAACACGAAATCCGGCATACATGTGAATAAGTCATTTGACGGTCTGACAGTGTTTACTTCTTTTTTTTTTTTTAGCGAAACTGGCCAATTATGCATATACTATGTATCGTCCAGCGATAATGAGAAATACGAGTCCGCTTACGTTCAATGGCGTCGTGGTTTATCAGATTCCTTTTAACAAAGAGCATAAATTCCTTGATCCTCTCTATGATAAAAAGAAGAGTGCCGGATACAGACTCGTTACACGGATTCATTATTTTTGTAGTTTGGGCTTAACAGCGAAAAAATAACTCAAAGACATAATGTCGAAGGGGACGCTCGCGGTCGAATGCGACGGCTGGCGAGCGGCTGCGGTGTATAAATGATAAATACAAAGATTAATCGACGCATACTCTCGTGAAGATATATAAATATATAAATATATATATATATATAAGTGAAAGAATATATACATAAAAGAGTAAAGATTATTATAAACAAAATTCAATTAGCTAGTTAGATAGGCATGTTATATTAAAAGTTATTCGAGGTCGATTCGATATTCGGCGGCAAGGAGGAAGTGGATCTTGTGTATATTCAGTAGCGCAGCATTTGTACGGGGATGAAATAATCTTTACCACTTTGTACAACTCGCCCGTCTAAAAAAAAAACCATGGGAATTACTACTGGATCCACAGATTTTATCCCATTTGCCACTGCGAAAAGACTTCGTATCTCGATCATTATATTTATTTATCAGATTCGTGGCCAAACGATAATTCACACACTAAAATCTTTGCAGGCAATTTATAGCATCTGTTTTTATCATTCAAATTTGTCTTTTGGACGTGACACGCGTAGATCTGTTGGATACTTTTATAAAACAGACATGTACACGCCAGAAGAGGCATCGACAAATTAGCACGTTCCAAACTGAGAGAGTGACGAAACGCGCAAAACCGATCAAATCACCGTGGTTTTTAAGTAAATGTTAGATTTTTATATAAGATGACTATGTACAACCAAAGGATATCGAGATTTTGACGTTTAAGCAATAAAACGTTAAACTTAGGAAGAAAAAAGGCAGCCATCGATCCCTCCGTCTCTTTATAAATCAATCTCGCTGCGTAAACGAGAGAGAGTACACGAATTCTTAACAACGAAAAAAATTAATACTAATAGAATGAAAAGAAGATAGCTAGAAAAGATGGTGCGTGCACACGTGTATTTTAAATTATTCGGGGAGCAGTAAAACGATCACAATATCCTCGTTGTCCCGAATTTCGACTTGACCAAATTGATACAAAAGAAAGACGAGACCGAAACTCGTATAAATCGCGAACATGTAAGCAATTGCATGAGTGCAATCGTACGTATAGCAGAGCGTTAGAGAGGGAGGGAAAGAAAGTATGAAAGCGAAAAAAGAGAAGAATGAGAGGGAGAGAAAGAGAACACGAGAAAAAGACCGAGCGACGAATAAACTGCACAGCACAAGCGAGAGACGAGGAAAAAGGGGTTAAGTAATTCGTAGATAGACATATTGCACAAACAGCACGAAAGTTAGATTAGACGAGTTAAGTTTTTTGTTCACGCGTGCCCTGTCCGCGCGGCAGCCGTTTAGAATCTCGATCGTACATAATTTCATCATCGACGTGCTCCTCTGCCATTAAGACTATCCGCTTGCTGGAGAAAAATCGATCAAAGGAGGTGGTACAAGAAACGAATCGAGGTGCTAGCACGAGTTTCAATACTTGAAAAGATGGGAAGCGGCTGGAACTTATTGCAACCCGTTTCCGTTATTTCTGTGCTCGATCGTTTGTATCTCCATCGTCCTGTTTCTTGCTCTTCGTATCTACTGCCTCTTCTTACCCCTTCGGTTTTAAGTACCACAACTCATATATCGATAATATCTTGTCTTCGCTTTTTCTTCGAAAAGC